CCAAGATCAAGCTTCTAATTCAATATATGGTAATGCCTGTATAATTTACAATGGATGGAAATTCTTTAATTTAAGTGAACCAAGTTTTCTATTATGGAAGCTAAGAAATGGGAAAATTTTAGGCAGGTGGAACTCTTTATTTGTAAAACAAGCTGAGAATTTTAATCAATAACTGAAATTCGTCACCTTCATTAGTTAGGAAAATGCTGAATCTATAAGAAATGAGGTGGGGTCCTGAAATTTACAAAAAACCAATAAGATTATAAAATTACCCTCTTTTATAATCACTCTCCAGGCAGACAGTTACTTAATGGAACATGTGAAAAACTTTTCTATTATGCAGACAAATCAAGCTTCCAACATTTTCATTTTATGTGATCTGTTTACTTGTGTAGTTTAGAATCAACAGCTGCTGTTTTTTGTTGGGATTTATTTGGAGATGGCAGACATTGGATGGCAGCTCTTCTGAGATGGTACTCAGCTGCTACAAGTTTACTATATTAATTCTGAGATGCAATATTTACTCAGTGGATGGTTGTATTAATTATATTTGGGTGACTTTTATTCGAATGGTTGTACGTTGTATTAAATATTAATCTTATTTGGATGACGTATTGGTTTTATTTGAAATATATGGTAATAAATTATGCTTTGTCCAAACCAACCCAACCCAACCTGATCGAAATTTGATTGGGTTGGGTTGGGTTGAAATTAGATCAAACCGACCGTGTTGGGTTGGGTTTGAGTTGGGGGCAAAATCGACCCAACCCAATCCACGCTCACCCCTAATCACTGCCGCATCAACCACAACACCACCGCACAGAACCCTCCACAACCACCTGATTACTACCACAACAACCACAATAACCACGACACCGTCGCTAGATCTACCACCACGCCTCAACACCACCGCACCCTCATCACACACCATCACACCACCATCGCACCCACGACGTAAGACGAGTAGCTCAGGAGTTCATCTGCACCAAGCACTACAACCGCACTCCTCTACAGCTCTGAGTCATCTTTTGGACCACTTTACTCTAGCCACTGCTAGCAACCGACTCGTCTACAGTTTCGAGTCATTGTTCTAGCGCTTGGCGGCTTCCGCCAACTCTACTCCAGCCACATTTATCTACTTCTGAAGCCGTCTTCATCGTTTTCCTCTTCTCTGCCGACTGTTTTTGCTTGGCCTTACTTTCCTCTCGATTCGGCGGCTTCACGATCGAAGGCTTGATGGTAGAAAATAAAAGCAGATATGCGAATCGTGCGAACTTGCGACGAAATGTGTTGCTGCTCGTCGAAGATGTTGACTAATCGAAGGCTTCGTGAGCCTAATGCAGACGGTGCTCCAGACCTCCAGTGGTGGCACAATAATGAGAGAAGTGGGAATGGAAATATAGAGAGAAAATGAAGAGATTTAGAGAGAGAGAAGAGTTAAAAATGATTAAGGTTTTAAAAAAATTGATAGGGTTATTAAATTAAAATATCAAATTATCATCTGATTTTTGTATAAACAAATTTTATCTGATTTTTGAAATTAAAACTTGAAAAATCTGGTTTGATGTAATTTCCATTTTAATTATACTAGTCATAATTGAACGTGTGTTGCACGTTATTCTAAAATAATTTATAGGTGCTATAAAAATAATATTTGAAAATGCATAAATATAAAAAAATAGTTAATGTAAAATAGACTTTTTATTCAATGAAAATCTCACTCTTAAATAACTTTTTTATATAACACGACTTGCATTTTATATTTCTGCGGAGAAGTCAAATATTATGTCACTTCTCGTATATTAATATAATGTAATTACGAAATAAATAGTCATCGTAGTAAACTTATTATCTTTTTATCAATTAAGACGAGTCTCACAATATCAAATTTACCAACATTGTTGGAATAAGATTCAACCAAACTCTTTCGAACTACCGTCACTTTAATGGATGATTAATTTTCATACACCGATAAGTCTTTTATAACCTTTGATTCCATGATGCGGGAGTAATTCGATTTGGCTTAAACCTATCTCTTGATGTGCTAGAAAATAAAGCAAAATATTTGATGATTCAAATGAAATAAAAATCAATCTGTGAAAAAAATTTAAATAGTTGAGGAAGTCAATTAGAATAGTTCATTCGTTTACCCTTTTGATTTGAAGCGAACATTCAACGCATACCATTATTTCTTCATCTTAACTTAATATGCATTGAATATATCAATTGAAATTATTTATTATTGATATGCATTATGTCCCCCATTTACTTTCATTGTATCTTAACATTTTTGAATAACTCAGTTGGAAGAAAATTCTCAAAATATTCACCTTTTCTTCCAAAATTTTTTAATGAATTTAATTTACTCTCCAATCAAGTCGAATGATTCTTTCAAATGTACATTGATCATAAGTAAATAGTTGACAACATAATTTATGATAATATTGTTTAAAAGGTTGAATAAATTAAATATATATTGAAAAACGAAAAAGCAAGATAATGAAGTGTGAAATGTACATTCTTCATAACTAAATAGTTGACAAAATAATTAATGACAATATATTCAAATGATTAAATATATATTGAAAAATAGAAAGTAAGATATTATTTTTTTAAAATTATTAAATACATATTGAAAAATGAAAATTAAAGTATTATTGAAATAACTGAATTGTAATAAAGATATAATCGTCCAAAAA